AGTAGTAGTAGCAGTAGTACTAGTGGTAGCAGCTGAGGGCAGTAGAAATGGCAGCAATGGCCATGTAAGCGTTAAGCAATGGCTGTGATGTTGATGACAAAGACGGGGTCAAGAGCAACATAATTATACGAAAGCGTTCTCCAAGTATGCGCACAGAAGCGACGACAGCGAGGACACCTATGACAGTTCTTGGCCGGAAGGGGTAGTTGGTATCATGATTCCCGATGTGAGTACATTCATGACACTTAAGTCGTCACCAGCTCTGCTTTTGTCCGGTCTCCGAAAGGCTTGGTGTCTCAGTGCCATTGTGTCCCACAGAAGGTGCTCAGGGAAGCATCCGAAAAGGAGTTTCCTGACAAGGTATTGGATTTAAGTGAGGCGTTCAGGTTCCCGCCCGCTCTGTCCCTTCAGCTTCTTTTTTCGTCTCCTTCTTGCTGGCTTCCGCTGTCCCTCCCTCTCTCCCTTGCTTGCTCCCTCGCGTGCTCTGTCTGGCAAACAGCTCCACCAAACCATGAATGCGCTGCTGGTTTACCCTTGACCGCTCCGTTTCCCATGCGAACAGTCATCGTACCTCAGATGAGTAATGCCTTTACAAATCCGGATTGTGGAAGAGAAGATGCAACTGTTTCGGTGCATAGCCGGAGTTGCATCTGGGCATGATGTGTGCCCATATACATGTCACATACATGCATGTATGTCCAAGGGGCTGCCCGACCGCCTCGGAAAAAAAGCCACCTTCTACCAGCTCTTGTTTCTTCTCGCGCTGCCGAATGATACGCGTCTGACTTCCATGCAGCCTTCTTAAAGGTGCAGTGATGGATCCAAGCCGGATTTATGGACAAGCAATTACGGTTCAGAGTTTATGGCTATCGTCCGAACAGTTGCGCAGCTTTGCTTTGCAATGCCGGCGACTGCCGATTTGATACTGTTACACCGCACAGGGCACGGAATGCACAGCTGCACAGAAACCAAAGTCTTAACCGATGAGATAGCTTCTAATTCTAGGTAACAGAAAGGTACTTGTATTATTTATGTATATATATATATATGTATATATATATATATATGTCTGTAAGTAAGTGAATGTGTATATACGAACAAAGACCCTGCATGTAATATCGCGCTATACTCTGCCGCTTTTATCCTACATGTATAGGATGATGACATGATATAAAGATATGTTGCTCTATGTTGCAGTTCTGATATATTCGAAAATTTTACAACTGGGCCTACTAAACCCTAGAACCCAAAACCCCTAAACCCTAGACCATAAACCCTAAACCCCTCAACTCCCTAAACCACCCCAGTCTTTCTGGCTCGGCCCGTTCAGTTTCCTGCGTTGCTGGTGTGGCTCCGTGCACGTTGCAGACGAGGCTTTGTCAATCTGCAACAGCAAGTTTAGGATTTATAGGGTCTAAGGGAATATAAGGATTACATTGCAACAGCAAGTTTGGGGGTTTGGTAGGGTCTATAGGGATGATATTGCAACAGCAAGTTTAGGGCTTACAGAGCTTATTATGTTTATATAGGGTCGATAGGGATTACACGTTTTTCTTGCCTCCTATTACATGGGTTGAGGCTCTCAGGGTTTAGGTTGTTTGCGGGTGGGGGTGTATTGTGCTAAGCCTGGCTCGCAAAGCCTTTTGAGTTTGGGCCTTGCATGATTAGGCTGTGCAAGTCAGAGCCGTGTTGGGGTTGAGCTTGCTCTTATGGCATCCAACGACACCACGCGCCTCACAGGCGAACATTTGCACCCTGAAGCCCAAAACCCTAAACCCGTCAGTCCTTAACGTCTAAAGCCCAAGCTCAGTGCCCGAGGAGGCGAGACGACAACTCGCGGGATCTTTGTCGAGTCAGTCGCGCCTGCCGAACTTTCAACTTTCAAACTTAATCCTGAACCCCGAGGAACTATACGCTGAACCCTAAACCCTAAACGAGCAGGAACTCAGCTGCTCTTTCGGGGGGTGTGGGGCTTCAGGGTCCTTTCAGGTCAGGGTTGGACGGCTTCAGCGGATTACGGGTTTTTAGTAAGCCTCCTGTGGTTAAAATGCTCTGCTGGAGCCAGTATATAGAGCCTATGAACACGTGATGCTTCAATCGGAACCTTAAAGACGCACCTTCCGAAGATGGAGGCCCTAAACCCTAAGCCCCTCTATCTTGGAGAATAGCCGGAGGCACCAAGACTGCGTTGTGCCCGGTTTCGAAGCCGCTCAACCTGGGTTGCAGGGTTTATGCCAATCCTTCGGGTTCCTTTTTGTATATATATATATATATAATGTACACCCAAACCTTTGGTTATTATAACTACTACGGCCCTTCATCAGAGAGGGTAGGTCCAAGGAATTCGGGTGGCCTTGCGGCCTGGAAGCAAAGGCGCTTCGGGGATGTTGGAGCCTGCATACAAATTATATATGGGTAGTTGTCAAAATTATGGTCCCTTTTTGGGTCCTTATTATAATACGGCACCTATTAATTAGGGTACCCCAAAAAGACCATAATTTTGACAACTACCCATATAGTTAACCCCAATGTAGATACGGTGGTCAGAGTCCTTTTTCCTCATCCACCAAGACCTCTTCCGCATGTGCACCGAAGCTATAAAGTTACTATAGTATACTAAGCCATGAACCGTCATAAACCCTATATGTACCTGACGAATAACGCCTCTCCCTCCATCAACCACGACCAAAATAAGAATCGCAAGATTACGGCCATCAAGGATTGGAGCGTGATAAACTATTGGCTGGGGGGTCCTCCTGATATGGGCACAGCATCTAGCGTGGGTCTAAGCCGGACCAAGATGCTGCTTCTGTAAGCGGTGGATGAGAACCTTTCGCGACACTGACGAAGGAGGGAGTATGCCCAGCAGAGCAGATGAACATAAGGATTGCGCTGTCCATCTTCCGTGACTTAGACTGTGGACACCCTCACAGCCAACCGCTGGCGCTGTCAAACTTGAACAGTGACTGCAACAAAAACTGTTATGCATCATCATCACCTGCATCATCGTCATCATCATCACCCTCATCAGCAGCATTATCGTCTATCCGCGGCACCATGATGAAATGGACGTCGATGCTGCGCGCCATGCCCTTCAGGCGCAAGCAGCCATCAAGGAACTCCTGCGGCACGGCAAACATTCTGCGGCGACGCGGTTTCGGGTTTAGGGTTTAGATTCAGGACTGTCAGGTTCTTGCTGCTGATACTACCAGCATCTCTACCATCACCGCGACGACCACGACCAGGAGCACGATGACGACTGGTACGAGGCCCACTCGACGATTCTTACTATGTCGATGATTACCGTCCTGATGTCTCGCGGTTACTTGTATCTCACCATCCACTAAACCAAATCCTCAAACTTCTAGGCAACCACAGCTCACAAGACGGCCAACTTAGAATGCGCTCAAATGCCCCTTTACGGAGGGCAAAGCTCGTCAGGCCTACTGGAAGTTTCTAGAATAGGCAGAAACGGTCAAGCTCCCGAGCTGTGTCGTCATGCACTGGGTCTGAAGATCACCGTGCCTTGCCGCTGTAGGCTTCGGAGTAACCAAGACCAAGAAGCATGAACTGTTATTTCATGATGGTTCCTTTAAGGAACAGGTATCAACACAAGTATTCGAGCATGTTCCTCCAGAACCCGGCGCTTGAGTTGCCATGCATAGTATAAGGAGCTGGAACCACCTTAAGATATACCTGAACCTTACAGCCTCGCACCCACTAGGCCAGGCACATCGACCTTCACTTCGAGAGAATCTTTCCGAGTAGCTTAGTAAGTAGTGTTTCGGGTTTAGGGTTTCAGGGGATTGCGGGGCGAAGTCGATCAGTAAACAGTTCTTTCCTATCTACTTACAGACCCAATTCAAGCACGATTGGCCTTCAACCAACCCTTCCAGGTCCTATTCTTCTAACCGCAGAGACTCGGTCCAATACTGCTGGGTAGAGAAGACATACCGCACATTTAAGCAGGTAGTCAAATATTCCCAAGAATAGAAGACAAAACTCTAACATAACACAAACCCTCCTAAGCTCTATCCATTGCATATCATTACTATAGGCTTTAGGGTTTAAGGTAGTGACTAGAGTGACTAGAGGATGCCAGCCCGCCGACTCCAGCGCTCAAAACCGCCCACCCATGAACTTGGGCTGCTTGCATGTCCTCGATGTCAACATGCCCCGACCTAAGTTCCCGCAGGGTTCAGGTTAGGGTTTGCCGTCTAGGATATTGGCCCCAACTCTCAGAATCCAGGTACCGTTTTAGAATTGGGGCAAAGGGGGTCTGGGGCCGTGGTTGCAGGTTTGTGGCAGTCAGAGTAGGGGGTCCAACGAGAACCTTAGATACACAGAAGACTTCGTGCTGTTACCAGAAGCATTTGTTCTCCTGTGTCATCATCAGCAGCTGCTGTGCTACAGCATCTTTTGCTCTGCAAGTAAGATTCATAGTTCCTGTTCCTACTTTCAGTTCAGCGTGTCGGGAGCTCCCGGACGCTGGCGCTGCTTGCCCGTGAAGCCATCAGCCAACCCTGCAGCCGTCGTCATAGTACTGGTCCTCTTCTTATCATGATTCGCCCTGAAGTTCAGAAGTGGTGTAGTACTTACATTGAAGATGCTGCACCTCACGCCGCTCATGACAGCCGCGATTTAGATCTACCAGTGTCATGACAGGCATAATTCCTAGCACAGTTGCATTAACCAATTGGGGTTGTAAGGGGATCTAACACTATGTGGGTAGTACTCTGAATAAGGGTCCCATTTTAGCAACCCCAAAGAAAGCGGCACCCTTGTAAAAAGGACCCTCAAAAAGGACTCCCATTTGGAGAACTACCCATTTATTGATGATATAGCTCTAGCAGTGCTCTAGCTCTGAACTCCCAAAATCATCTGGCTTCTGCAGCAAGGCGGCCCATCCGAGTCCAACAGAGAAAAGAGGCGAACGCAGTCATGTGCCTCGAAACCTCGGGACTTCTTTGCTGAATGGCCCTTGGCCCGCGGGCTTCTGACACCCTTGGCAAAAAAAACTGTCAGAGTTGGAACGACAAAATTATTAAAACCACGACCACCATCGACAATTGGAGTTTCCCCCCCCCCCCCCCAATATCCGATTACTAATTAGTTGTTGTGACTGTGTGACTTCGATGGGGTAGTTTCTGGGACTTGAGATCTCATCACCCGTGCTTTGGAAGTAGATCGAGGCAGGCACAGAAATAAGGTAGAGCGTTTTAGACGACTCAGAATCTCAAGACATGCCCATATACCCTGGACTCGCATGTTATCCCTTGGCACAGTAGCAGTTTCGACACTTTTGACCCTGAAGTTCGACGCTTGCGATGAGAATACCGCAACAGAGCTTACAGCTGTTCCGGCTAGGACTACTTTTTCCAGCATCCTGTTGCACATGTCTCTCACAGTCACTGTCTCACCACCATCTCAACAGCTCCGGTGGGTTTCGAGTACAAAAACCCCTTGCTATCCTTCATATAGCTCGCGGCACTGCGATAAGTCCAACTTCGGTGATTGAGCTCATTACTCCTGAAGCCACGAGTATCCGTAGAGCTAGCATTGGGAGAAGGAAGGACACTGGAAGGGTCAGGAGACTCACATAAGTAAGTCTAGAAGTGTGGCAAATGGGCAAATACTGAGCGCCAGCTGGTAGACGTATTCGGCAACTCCCACCGATCAGTCAGGGCCTTCAGGCTAAAAGCCAAAGTTGGATGCCCAAGCGCTATACAATATTTTGGAATTTAAGGTCTTGGGGAAGTGTCAGGCTATAGGTATACAGGGGTATGCCATTGCTACCAACTCTTGAGGCTTCTATGCAATGTCACTGCATGAGTCTCGGACTCACATGCCGTCGAAGTTGTATAAAGTAACTTAAGTAGTGGCGTTTGCAAGAAACCACCCATGTGTGGGCAGGCAGGTAACTGTAGCCCTGGAATTCAACAAATACGAGTAATAAGGGCTTAGCTTTTTCGCTATCTGATCTCCGTGCCTAAACCCCTAAACTCCTTTTGCAACTGGCCCCCCTTTTACACCTAAACCCCAAAACTCCTAAACC